GCATGAGGATTTCCTGGCAACTTCATCTGCATATTAGTTGATGTTCTTATTCATATTCTTGCATAAACAAAACTGGGGTAATACCGAATTTACTTCATGAACTCTAACAAACTGCTTCATAATATGTCCTTACTCTACAATAAACTAGAATGCCCCTCCAGAATCGGCAGAAGCATAGCAAATACTTTTATCCTAAAAGAAGCCAAGTGTTAAATTGTGTTGTTTAACACTAGCAGGAAGCTGATGGGAACATCCTTGTAACTGATACAAGATTGAAATGTGTCCAAAGCTGCTGTATGCAGTGTTACCCTCACTGGATTTCCAGCCTTTTCTGTTCCTGGTGATCAATTCTAATTGATGGTACAAGTAAGTTGTACTCAGATGGTAGTAATTTGGATCTTTTCTTATATCCACAAATACACTTTAAAAAAGTGGTTGTGACTTCTAAGTTGGGTCAAGTTATCTAAAAATCACAATTGGGGTGGTTTGTTTTTTTTCTTACGTGTTTTACTGCTGGATAAAAAGAGCAGAAGTTGATTTGGGAACTTGTAAGTTGAAGTTGGTTGGTTTGGGTTTTTTTTGCTTTTATGAGGTCTTCAGTATTCTGTTTTCTCCCACAGTACTTCCAGGCTGCAGGCTCAAAGGCACTATGGAATTACTTCCCCGATTTGTCTGGCTCCTCCTAACGGTATAGATTGCATTCATACTCAGAAGCTAATTGAAGCAATGAAGCCATTTGGTGTGTTTGAGGATGAGGAACAGCTGAGTCACAGGTATAACAAGGCTAAAATTCATTAACCTCTTGGGCAGTTTTCTGTTTTAAGGGAAACTTAACATGAGTTTTCTTTACAGGATGTTTGTTCTTCATAAACTGAATAACTTGGCCAAAGAATGGATTTCAGAACTTGGTCAGAGCAAGGTAAGGACTTTTTATATGTTCTTATCAAAGCAGCTGAAGCCTTTTTATTTCTTTTAAAAGCCATGCAATTAGGATTTATGCTGAAGTTCAACTTCTAACTTCTTAAGTATTGAGTAGAGCTGTACTAACTGCAATTTAAATAGGTATAAAAAGTAATTCAGATCAAGATCCTGAAGTCTTTGGGGCACTAATTAAATCTGTGACGTGGCTCTATCAGTTAATAAAGCCAAACCATCATATTGTGGGTGAGATAGATGGCAAATGGGCACTAATCTTGCCTCAAGCTTCCTATATCACTCAGTCTAGGAATTATTACACTAGACTTAGCTCTTAGGTGGTATTAATTTATGTGTATGCTGCAGGGAAGACTAATAATAGATCTTAATTTGTGTAAATTAATGAAAGGACTGCTACATTACTTATTATTTTGATTTGAAAGCACTCACTTCAGAAAAACAGTATCTTAGAATAACAGTATATTAGACTGTAATAGTCTGTGTATTCAACTGAAAGCTCAGTACAGGAGTGAGAAGACCATGTTTTGGAGGCTGTTGTAGTTTTTCTATGTAATTGGTATTCTAGTTAGACTTGCACATAGGTCAGTGTGGGTCTCTAAAGTACGCTGATGTTCTCTTTTCTACCCACAGAATCTTCCCCCTTCAACAATAGCAAATGTTGGTGGCAAAATATTTACATTTGGTTCTTACCGGCTTGGAGTACACACTAAAGGTACAACTGCCACTGCTTGATCATATTTCTAATGTTTGAAAATGACTTCCAACAGTAACAGAAGAAATGGAATCTCTTTGTAGGTGCTGACATAGATGCAGTTTGTGTTGCTCCTAGACATGTGGAAAGATCGGATTTTTTTCAGTCATTCTTTGAAAAACTGAAACATCAGGAGGCAGTAAAACATCTAAGAGTGAGTAAATTCCCTACCTGATTGTGCAAATTCTGCCATAAGAATACTCATGTTAAAGGCTCATTGGTTGTGAATGACTTACAAGCCAAAATGAAACCCAAAATTGTTTCTGAGCACCTTCAAAAATACTATATTATGCAGCATGAAAATGCCAAAGTCAAGCTTTTGGTTCCTTTCCTCAGTGACTGTATGTCACATAAGAATTTGGGAAGGTGTTAGCTGTATCAAAAAGCAAGATTGTCCCTAAAAGCCTTGCTTTACTCTTAGATGTAGTAAGGAGCTTGGAAATAAGGTGTGTGCAGGAATAGGATGGGGCAGCCTGAAAAGTAGAGAAGTTAAATGTGATGTGGAAAGGTTTCTGTCAGTATGCTTTTCTATCTGTACTTTAGGATCTCTAATTCATACTTCCCTGGCCATGTTCCCCTCTGACTACTCTGCCTGAGACTTTATGGAACAGATGCACACAGTCAGCTTTGTGTAAAGTTAGGGGAACTGTGCTGTGAACATAGAACACTGCTTTGCGATTCACCTTCAGGTGCATATGTTGTGTACCTTGCATGTAAAATTGAACTCCTGGGAAGCATTTCTCTTAGCCTACTCTTCCTCATGTAGACATTTTGAAAGACTTCATGTGCTTAGCAAATAAACCTTTGCTTTAGATACCTGAAAGCAGACTTGCAGCCACGCAGTTCTAACAAGTGGTCTACAACATTGAAAATGGTCACATAAAGTAGCTGACAGCATCTTGGGCACATCAGAAAATAAAAATACAGGAGACTAGTGCACACTGTCAAATGTGGACAAAAGATTTTTATATTGCTGTTACCCCCTAGTAAGATAGCTTACAGAAATACCTTTCTTTTCTTTCTCACTACCAAGGTGAGTACCTTACAACCATAGATAACTTGTGGCTTATTGTGCACTGTTCATTACAATACATGATCAGCTCCTGAATCTCGTGGCTAACTAGCTCTTTAAGGCTGATATTGGTACTGTATTAATGCTATACTGCTTGCAGTTTGTTCTTGTTTGGAAGCAACTCAGTATTTATAGTGAGTAGTTTAGCAATGTAAATTCTGTATTTTATCATAATTTAGGAAAACCGTTAAAATAGCAACAATATGTTTTCTTACAATTACCCTCTCCTTCACAGGCAGTTGAAGATGCATATGTACCAGTTGTCAAATTTGAGTTTGATGGAATTGAGGTAAGAATTTCACGTGTGTTGTGGCTTAAAAGGAAAGGGATGAGGCATAGGGGACTTTGTAAATAAAATACGGAACTTCTAGCAATTCTGTTGGATTTTTTTGGCAAATAAATCTCCTGGGATATGTTTCTATAGTCACAGAATGCTAAATAAAAGTGTTAGCCACTCTTTTGAGACTTGACTAACTGTCCCTCCCACTAGTGTGCTGTTTGCAAATGGTACAACATTCTAAGTCATGGTTGGCACTTTTTCCTCTTCAGATTGATCTTGTCTTTGCAAGACTGTCTATGGCAACTATTTCTGACAGTCTTGATCTCAGAGATGACTCGTGTCTGAAAAGCCTGGATATAAGATGTATACGTAGCTTGAACGGTAAGCATATTTAAGTATCTTTAAAGTGTGATCAACACTGATACAGTGATAGATTACACAACCCAAACTTCTGGATAAGAAACTGATCTCTGTGTATCTGAGGCGGTGGCAAAAAGGCTTAAATTTAGGTATTACATGAAGCTGTGTGTTTAGATAGTCATGTATTTCATATTTCTTTGATCAGGGAGTGTGCATTGTTCCAGTTTGCCACAGAAAGTGCTTCAGATGCATAGGTAGAGCACTTGATAGAGACTTGATAGAGAACAGTGTGTGGTAGTTAATAAAAAAAATAGATACTTAAAATACCTAAAGCCTAACTTGCTCACTGTTTAACACTGTTCCTGGCTGCCCAAATAGCTCTAGCTTTTGGAATCCTATAGAAGAGCCTTATTAAAAGTTGCTGGCTGCAGTGTAAACTATGAAAAAGCTGAGGGCACCAGCTACCTGAAGTGCTAATGTATATGTAATCCAGAGTTGGTTTTATAATTTAAATGATAAGCTTTAAGCTCTTGGTCCAATATAAAACTGACTTGTACCTGTTCCTAGGAACTTTTGCATTTCAATTTTTCTTACAGGCTGCAGGGTTACTGACCAAATAGTGCGTCTGGTGCCAAATCTGGAGAACTTCCGTCTCGCACTCCGTGCAATTAAACTGTGGGCAAAACGTGAGTGATGGGATTGTTCATGATCTTTAAACTTCTCAGAGGCACCTCATGCTGAGAAAATACAACTGTTAGAAGTACTTCAGCTTTGGATAGTTGCTTAAATGACAGTTTTTAAACTAAAACAGTCATTTTTAGTCTAGATTAAAAGTCTGTTCATGTGGTCGATTTGGTGTGGTTTTTAATGAGGGTAGAGTGGGGAGGAGAAGGGATTGACTACAAGACAAAGTGCTGTATTGCTGATCAGGAACCTGACTACAGATGATAAAAATACCAAGTTTAAAATGTAAGGAATATGATATGTAAGGAATAAGAAAATACTGTTCATGCTAGAGCAAGGGCTAGAAGAGTGGCAGAACGTTTTTGTCCGAAGGGAAGTTGGAATGAAGTTGTAGTTGTAGTAGTGTGGGCAAATTTCAGAGTAGCAGTATTTTGGGAATTGGTGTGGTAATGATTCTTTTTCTCATCACTGCAAGGACCAACTATTTTGGCCTCATTGCACTGCAGAAATAACTGTCTGAGGCTGAAGCATGTTAAGTAAATACACAGGTTGTGAAGTTGGTGCTGTAAATTTGAAGGAATATACTTGGGTATTAAAAGACTACTTTTTAACTACAATTTACCTATTTTAGGCCGTGGCATTTACTCAAATATCCTGGGATTTCTTGGTGGAGTTTCCTGGGCGATACTAGTAGCAAGGACATGTCAGCTCTATCCAAATGCTTTGGCGTCTACTCTCATTAACAGGTTCTTCATGATCTTTTCAAAATGGTAAGGGCAGTTGTTTGTTTTAATTTGCATAAAGAAGTAACATTTCCAGAGGTAGCTCTTTAGATAAAGATTCACGTTGACAATGTTCAGTCTTACCCTGAATTACATGGGGAAACTTGAAAACAGACAGTTAGTTACTCAGTTTTTTTCATATAGGGAATGGCCAACTCCTGTATTGCTGAAACAAGCTGAAGAAAGCAACCTTAATTTACCAGTATGGGACCCAAGGGTAAGTAGACATTAAATTCAGAAGCCTTTAAACTTTCTTCTGGGCTAAACCGATGCTAAACAGATGTTTTAACATCATAGGTGAACCCAGCAGACCGTTATCATGTCATGCCTATCATCACTCCTGCCTATCCACAGCAGAATTCCACATACAATGTGTCTCCATCAACACGGGCGATAATGGTAGAGGAATTACAACGTGGTAAAGTATTTTTCCATGCTTATTAACTGGTTTTAAAGCACAATTCTTGCTATTTGAAGCTGCGTTATCTGAATTAGTTATGTTCTGTGAGGTGTTCTGCCCTTTTACAGGTCTCTGGGAATTATACCTGTTGCAGGCTATAAGGGAACAGTTTCAAAGTGAACTCTTGTAGCAGACCTGCATGGTGTCAAGGGAATTTGTTTTTTGATCAGTCAACTAATGTTCAAAACCTTCATGTCAAGAAGATTATATCATGCTCGGCTAGTCTAAAAACCGAAATGGTAATAATGTTTTCAACCTCAATTGTAGGTCTTGAAGTTACAAATGAGATTCTCCAAGGGAAATCAGACTGGTCAAAACTCTTTGAACCGCTGAACTTCTTTCAGAAGTACAAGTATGTATGAAATCTGTTGTCTGAACTTCAAATTATGTACTTACTGGTTGCATGGTGAGTTTTAAGTTGGAATCTAAATAGAACATACCATAATGTTTGTGCTTCAGGAACTGCAAGTAGTGTAATTTAGATTTTGGTAAGTAAGTAAAAGGGATAGTATAGTGAAGATAGAAAAACTGTATGTGTTAATGCCACTTAAACTTTTTATTAGGAAAAAAATCAACTAGGATACTTGGAGTGTAGCAGAATGCAATTCTAAAGGATGTAATCACTTAATACTGTGCTGAATACAGGATATAATCTGTCTTGTCTGGAAGCTGTATTCTATTCATTTAAGGTAGTTTCACTTGAAGAAATATGAAGTCCTGAGCTAGTATGTTACTTTTCCTTCTAGACATTACATCGTGCTGACTGCTAGTGCCTCTACAGAGGACCATCACTTAGAATGGTAAGTCTTGGTTTAAATGGGGTTCAATACATAATGAGAACTTGGCTCAGTGTTATCTGTATTAACAAATGAAGTATAAAACTGAGCAACTAGGAATGGAATATAGCAGCAAGTTGAGTAGACAGTTGACCAGCAAAAGTTAAACCTTTTTTCTTTATGAAGGGAAGTAAACATAAATCCAAGTCATGATGTGAAGGATCAAGAAGGGTTTGTGTGTGTATGCCTAAAGGTTTGATGCTCTGTCTTACATGGAGAAGCAGATGCAAGGAGTCTAAGGAGACTGCTTACCCAACACTACTTCAGCTCGTAGGAAGATGTTCCTTGTTGCAGAGACTGAAGCAAACAGATTAATCAGTGTTATCAGATGTGTAATGGACACTGCAGAGCCTGATCCTCTGACTTTACAGAGCAGCGGTCTCCAAACTTTTTTGACTGTGCACTCCTATCAGCAAAAACTTCTAAACATGAGCTTAAAATATATATATACTTATTTACAAGTTACATACACATAACTGAAGTTATAATACTTTCTTCCTGTGTCAACTAGATCCTTCTGATTATTAAAGGAACTATATTTTTCAGTTTGGGAAGAGAGTAAACTTTTTTTCACTGATCAGGAATTCTTCTGCAGGAAGAATTGCATCTTTACTTGGTTGTAATAGAACAGTTGTGCTTGAGCCTATTCTGAATTGCTCTTGTCCTTGATCTTTGGGGTAAAAAGCAGTTTTGCTGTATTTCAAAATGCAGCCAGAGGTGCTGGTACCTGCTTTTTGTTGATCTTTTCATCATAGATTATAGGTTGAAATATTGTATCTGAACTGTTGAGAGTAGAAGTTAAACTTGCTTATCTGTCTTTGGAAATGTTTCTAGTGACATGTGAGCTTTAACATCTTAAACTGTAGTGTGTGCGATATAGAAATCCAGTATCTACTCAGCTGAATGAAGCTTACTACTTAGTGATTTGTTAGCTTTTTTGTATTAGCATTGTACTATGAAAAGGCATATAACTCCAGTGCTGGATGCAGTTAAAAATGAGTAAGTATCTCTTGTTCTTCTTAGGATTGGCCTTGTTGAATCTAAAATTCGTGTCCTGGTTGGAAGTTTGGAGAGGAATGAATTTATAAATATGGCACATGTGAAGCCACAATCTTTCCCTGGCAAACAAGAGCTCTGTAAACGGTGAGTTTCACTACTTTTCTGAGATACAGTTTGGTCAGTGTATTACAACTTGTTCATATTCACCTCAGCTTATCTGGGAGATGTTCAGTGGAATACCTGTTATTTTGTAGGTATATGCTCTGACAGGCAAGGTTCTGAGCATGTAAGATCGTTTTAAAGAAGGGAGAACTTCAGAGAGAAGTACTCTGAGATCTTAAGTGTGAGCTGACTAACCTTGATTTGCTGTTACAACTGAATTGTTTTGCTTAATCCCTTTTTGAGAGTAGATGCTATCATTCAAGTAAATGGTCTCTGTGCATAAATTACATGATTTGTGCATCTGTCTCTTTAGGGGTGAACATGTGTCAATGTGGTTTCTTGGAATTGAATTTAAGAAAGTGGAAAATGCAGAAAGTATTAACGTTGATTTAACTCATGTTGTACACTCATTCACAAGTACAGGTAAGCCTACATTTTGCTCTAGTTTTGTATGGTTTCATGTTTTTGATTGCAGTGGAAATTGCTTCACAAAGTGAATTGTGCTTTCATCTGGTATTAGCTATTGGGTGTTTCTATAGAGCAACATGCAGATTAGCTTTAAAGTAAGTTCACCTTGAAACAAAAGTGGCTACTACAGTTATACACTGCGCTATTATGTGAAATAACACCTCTGCATATCACAGTGCAAGCACTCACAAAGGAACTTGAATTTATTTTGAAGCAACTGTTCATATTGGTGTGGACATCTATATTTAGGCTTTTGTTAAATTTCTAGGCCTTTTGTTGCATGACCTTAGTTTGATTCCCACTCTATGTTCATAATCTGGCTTTCCCTTTATACTTCTGATATGTCTGTTTACACAAGCTTATCTAAATGTGACTGAATTCTGTAATAACTGCTGTGCTCATATAGCATTCTCAAGTTGCATATAGGGCTGTTTGCAGGTGATTAAGAAAAACATGTTGAAATTACAGTGATTCTGGTAAGTCAGAGGTCCCTAAAATCCAGTCTTACTTTCTTGGGCAGAAAGAATTTTAACATTAAACTACATAGAAGTCAGCTGATGTTACAGAACTGTTACCAAAAAAAAAACCCCAACCCACGATAACCACTGTAAATATCAAATAAAAAATGAGTCTGAATCTGATCTCATCAGCTGTGCACAATTGGGTTGATTCAGAAAGTCCTCTAGATTTTTCTAGTTTTTCAACCAGAAAAACTAATCTCCTTTGGGTTAAAATCAATTCAGATGTGAGCTGTGTTATTAGCAAACAGCAGCTGTAGCTGAGCACATAAATGAATATTTGAACTTAAATAGCTGTTATGTATCTGGTCTGTGTGGGATGTGAAATGAGCATCTTAGGCCACAGTAATCTTAAGAGTATTTGGGGTGCTTGGGTAGCATTTTGTGTTCAGTTAGGCTGGAAACTTCTTCCTCTCTGGGCTGGACAGATTAGAGGCTTGCTCTTAAATAAATGTAACTGACGAATACCTAATGCAGACATCCTCGCTAACCTAAAACACAATCCCATGTTAGTTTACAGACAGGCTAGCAGCTTCAATGTGCTAAAAGAAGGAATGAAGATTGAGGCAGCTCATGTGAAGAGGAAGCATCTACACTATTTTTTGCCAGCTGAAGCCATTCAGAAAAAAAAGAAGGTATCATAAAAATCTGGCTCTTTTGTCATTTTTCTTGTCTTTAATAATTACTTGAAGACTTCATTATTATTTGTTTTAACTGTTGTTTCAGCAAAGTATGCCAGATACTGGTAAAAATGCCTGTGAGCATCAGTGCAAGAGGCTTTCTGCAGATGGAAACTGTTTGGGCAGTTCCAGAGACAAGGACTCCAGAACTCCATATCATTCCTCTCTATTACATGAGATAACTAAAATGGACACCTACACAACAGAGACAAAAAGGTTGGACTGTAACCTTTGAACTGGAAGAAGCTGCTTTTAACTGGGGGGGGAGGCAGGCTAAAGAAATCCTTGAAGGATTAACTTACATGAACACATAGGAATGAAGAACTACTTGACACTAGAGAAATTATTTGGACTTGAATATAAATCCCGTTAGGTTATTCAAGTGTGTAACTTGAAGCTGGAGTATTTTATGTGTAGGTAAATGTTCCTTCTTGAAACCAAAAAAGATACAATTAATGCAAAGCAGTATTAAGTGCTAATGAAATGCTGATCTTGATCACAGAAACATTGGAGCTGCTGCTGACTTAGTGGAGTGGTGTAAGGAGTTGGGCTGCTTCAGCACAGGAGGGATATATAACCTTGAGAGTAACAGCCCAATGCTTCCAGATGTCTAATGCCTGCTGTGTTCAGACAGTTTGGTACTATAGAATTAGCACGAAAAAAAAACCAACCCAAAAAACAATTGGGTGCAGATATGGGTAGAGCAGATCCATACATTAAAAGCATCACAGGTGCTTGATATACTAAGCTGGAAAACAGTACCAGTACATAGAGGCTCACTAAAAAAAATGCTTAAGTTTAAATTCAAGGTCTAAAGTCCAGCAAAACAGGGGAAGTTCAGATTAGATAGAAGGAAGAAGTTTTTCACTGTGAGGGTGAGGAGGCACTGGAACAGGTTGCCCAAAGAAAATGCTCCATCCTTGGCAGTGTTCAAGGCCAGGCTGGACAGGGCTTGAAGCAACCCGCTCTAGTGAAAGGTATACCTCCCCATGGCAAAGGGTTGAACTGAATGATCTGAAGGTCCCTTCCAACCCAAACCATTCTGTTATTCTGTGAAAATGAAGATCTCATACTAGTTTGCCTCTGATTTTGTGGTGTTTACTAGTAGAGCTGTAACAGTGGGCTAAGAAGGTAAAAGTTTGCCTTGCATGAATGTTCTGGAAATACATAGTGTTTTGCAACTAGCAAAATACTATATATTTTATAACTCTAGTGCATTTTATAACTCTGGTGCCTGACTTTTACAGAACCGCTGTGTATCAGAGATCCAGTGCCACTAACAACAGAGAGAAGATACCTCTTGGAGCTGTGCCATCAACATCCATGGGATTCCCTTTGCCTGTTACTGACTCAAGTATGTGTTGAAGTGGGTGGAATGCAGTCTTTAATTTCATGGCTGAGCTCTAAAACCTTGTTAACAATCCTGCAGAAATGGAGGGTACACTCGGAAGAGCGACATCAGCACCTCTAACTGGTTGCACCATTTCAGAACCTAATACAGGTTCTAAAGTAGGACCACATTTTGGCCAAAAGCAGCATGAATTAACTGAGACTCCAGTTAAAGAGCCAAAGAACACTGCCTCTAAACGACCTTATTCACCCACCTCAACCGGAGATGAACCCCCCCAAAAAATACCTGATGGAGGAAAGGTGAGGAAGAGGAGCTGGATCAGGGAGGTTTGAAGTTGTGTTAGTTATTGATGTAGAATGAATGAAGTTGCTGAGAAATGCATATATACATTCCCAGCAGGTTCAGGAATCTAAAGTATAATAATAGTTTTACTAGGATATAGCTAGGAGAAATTGTGTTGAATATAATTTGAGCAATTGAAACAAGACTGCTTCTTGTCTGGTATCAGGGTCTCTAAATGCAACTACACTGATACAGTACTGCACTGACCTGAACTGCCTCATTTGGAAGCAGTTTTTAAAACAACTCAGAAAAAAGCTATCTCAAAATGGAGACTATATGAATGTATAATTGTAAACATATTAGCTAATCTTGTTCTGGCAGACGATATTTGAATGCATAGTGGTAGTTCTGCTGCTTTAGAAATCAGCAGCCTACTTGTAGGTCATCCACTGCTGAAATGACAGTGTGGAGTTGCTTGTTTAAACATAAATCTAAAGCTTCCACAAGAACAAGATTTAATGTTTTATCGCTATATATAAATTAGCTTAAATACCTTAACCTCTCTTTGAGTCAAAGAACAAGTAGAAAAAGCTCAAGTTGGATACTTGTAACGAACCAAGGTTTGGGTAGTAAGACATTTGAAAGGCTTGAGATTCCTGTGTGATAGTGGTAGCCTTCTCTAAATGTTGTTTTAAGAATGGCCACTGATACATTTGTTGTGTTGACTGAAGCTGTACCCAAATATGAAGGTAATTTCAGTACAGCACTTATTTTGAATCTGTGTATTCTGTTCTTCTAGCGAACTGGACAGGACTCAGCATTCAAAGATTGTGGCAACCCAGATGTCATGAGAGCTACAGGAAATGTAATTTTCAAATGTTTTTTACTCAGACTAAAAAGCTGAAATGGCTGTTCTAGTGCCTAAACTACCTCACATAAATACTTTACACATTTACTGATGTGAACAAAAATGTGCTTTTTAATGGCATTCTCTTCAGTTTTTATTTTGCAAGAATTACACCTGTATGACCTATCTCTTTAAATGCTATTACTAGATTTGGTGGTATCTAGCTTCATGCCATGCTTGAAGTCACTTTTTTTTAAGCCACTCGATTCACTAATGTAAACTACAGCTACTGAAAGACTAAAGCATTTGGCCTCTCAGAGGGAGGATAAAGAGCTTTAGTGTAGCTTGCTACTGAAGCATAAACTCTTGAGGGCACACCCTCAAATCAAAATGTGATCTTGCTGGTAAAGTAAAGGTTAAAGTAGCTGAAACACTGTATCTGTGTTTATAGGGCTTAAAATACTGCCTAATAAATCCTTTCTGGCTTTTTTCTAGGACTTACGTGGAGGAAAAGCCGTGCCTGCTCCTGTCATCCTGACAACAAGATCACAGGTATTATACATTGTGTCTGTGTATTTATAGGTAAATCAAAAGTAGAATTTTCTTTTTTCATGTAAAGACTTAAATGCTATTTATCTCTGTAAACTTGGGGGTTTGAAGTAGTGATAAGCTTTTGCGTATCATGCTTCCACCAAACTGAATAGCTGAACAATGACCTTCCAGGTACACTCACAAAAGTGAAGCCAAAGCTTCCAAGTTATTGAACTCTGAAAACCACATTTCCTTGCTCTCAAACACTGGCACAGTTTATTTCCTCATTTCCTTTTTTCATGAGTGAAAAGGTTTGTACTCCTTGTAGGTCTTCCATAAGGAGCTCTTCTTATCTAAATTATTGTATACTGATTTCTGTGATAAGACTTGGAAGCTTTGAAGCGTGGAAGTGGCCAGTAGGGACAGTCCTGATCCATGGCTCTGAGAAGAATGATGGCTTCCTCTTATGCTCTTATGCAACTGGCAACTTATTTCCCCTCCTCAGGAATATAATTATCTCAGTTGATGCCAGGAAAGAAATGTGCAGAGAGGAAAATGCTTTTCCTCTGTCAACTGGTGATAACAAGTGGTGTGGTAAACAGAAAACCCATGTAGAAATATTTGGGTTTGGGCCATAGTGTTTTGGTACATAAAGAATGTTATATTCAGCTAGGAAAGGGTTTATCTGCTGCTACTTCTGAATTAATGAATTCAAAACTTCCTTTTTTTTTCCCTTTTTCTGTTTTTGTGACATCTTTTTGTGTGTTTTAGAGGCTTTCCAGTAAAGAACTACCAGATTCTTCATCTCCTGTTCCAACAAATAGCATTCGTATTATTAAAAGATCCATCAAACTTACCCTTAATGGGTAGCCGGTTTCTCTTCAGGTGAAGATGGAAAGCACTTTAGAGATCTGTATTATCAACATCTATTGTATTTACAAACAAGAATATGGAAGGTCACTCTTGCCATACTGCAACTGGCCAGTTAAAATCATGGTCTTGTTTTATAGCATTGTTCCATGCTTTGATGTACTCTTCGCACATTCTTGTAACAGTTTATACTTACTAGTCTTTTAAAAAGTCTTAACTGTCACTAGCTGGAACAGCTTTGGAAAAAGCCACAAAAGGTGACCTGTCCTGTGACTTGGGATTCAGAATGTATGTAAACAGGGTTGGTTAACTTGTCACTGCAACCGCATTCTGAGTTCAAGTGTATATGAACATGCTTGTATTTATCTGTGCTTTCCTAGTTCATGTGTATCCATTGTTCTTATCTTAAATTATTTTTCCACTTGGCACGTTCCCTCCTGCGCATCTGTCACAGTGGTGCTCAGCTTCCTCAAGTGGTAGCTTTCCACTGTCTAGCACAGCCATGCACTACACAAGTATTGCCTCCCATGGAGGCCCATAAGTAACTCAAATACTGGAGGAAATGCAGCAGAGGATGGTACCCAGGTATAGAGATGATGGATGCGTCTCAAGCCATGTTATCTGATTTTTGTCTTTAAGACTGCTCCAGCATGAAACTTGATGGGTCTTTTTATTGTCAATGGGTAGTAAAGCTAAAGTTGGAACACACAGCTGAAGATGCACAGCTGAGGCTGTTGTGACACTGCTACCTACCTGCAAGCTGCAGTCTTGAGAGCACATGGCATGCAGAAAGTGGCTTCAGATAAACCCTAAAAGCTGTTCTGAATGGGTACATGAAAACTTGTAGTAGTCTGGTTCTGTAAACTGCTAACACTGCTTATCCAGTTAGTGCATCAGGGTTTTTGAGGGGTGGGGAGAAATTCTGATCATAAGAAAACAAATGTTATGTTATCTCTCTTGCAAGTTCTTTGTAATTTGGTGGTTTTGTAGATGAAGTTGTATGTTTTTTCCAGAGTATTTTTGTATATGCTGTAAAATAATAACTTTCAAAGAGAAATTTAAAATCTTCAGCCTCTTTTTTTTTTTTTTTTTTAAATGCAGATGGGATCTGCTTAAAAAAAACCCAAGCAACTCAACTGAGTGTGAGGCCTGCGTAAGAGGGAGCAGTGCCATAAAAAACACATCCCACAAAATGATAATGTCATGCTAGAGTAAATGAGGAGCCCAGGAACACTGCTTCCCTGCTTCTGGGATTTCCAGGTTTTGAATTCATGCCCTCTGAATAGTGCAGTTTGAGAACTGCCTTAACAGCTGAGGTCCCAGTTAGCTCTGTGGACAGCAGACAGTGAGTTGCTTGGCTTATAAGAGCAATTCTGAGCTCTAATCATCTTCAATATCCACCAAAAAACCCTACTGTCAAGACTATAAAGGCATAGAAGGAAGCATATATATTGCAAGGTCTTAATTCTCTAGCATTCCCCCTACTGCTATTAATCCAAATGTGTGAAGAAAGTGATATTTATCACAATATACTTAGGGTTTTTTCCTTATTACTTCTGATTTTCAGTTTGTTTCAAGTGCAACTTATCTCTTGGCCCTAGTGGATTTGAGAGGTCTTATTCTTCCCTCTTCCCTCCAAAAAAACACCCCAAACTTAGACCTTGCAGTCTTAAGTTTACTCACAGGTTAAAATTAAGAAACAGTACCCATGTTACTTCAGTGGCTTTTAGCAGAACCAGTTTCTAAACTGGTTTTATGGCTTGTATTAAAACTAAGGTATTGAAATAGTGACAAGCCTGTGTACTAGAGTATGTATATACAACTTCAGCACCTGTGTAAATAAAAACCCGACACGAATTTGAAGGAATCAAAGCTGAAGTAGGTGATGAGAGAAACAGCAGAGCAAATACGGAAAGTAAGTGTTACAAATAGCCTACAACCCTGTAATATTACCATGCTTTTAAACTGCTTCTTCCACTTGACTATTCCAAGACTGTTATGGGCTCTTTTGCCCTTGACCTCTATGTCAGCATGTGCATTTATGCAATTAGTCTCCTACTAGCCTAGCTAATAGATAGAAAGTATATGCCTTTACCTAGATCTTTTTTCACTCTTGTTACCTTCTAATTGCTCTTACTTTTTATTTCCCTCACTCTTAGGCTTTTAAGAAGAAATCTTAGGAAGAATTTAGATTACTAGTTTCTCGGATTTGATTCAGCATACTTGAGATTACACTCTATTTTACTACTTGGCCCAGTGCAGACATCACTGTTCTGGAGTTTCCCTGGATGTGGCAGAAGATTATGCAGATTAGTTTTCAGCTATTTTAAATAAAGACACTTTGACAATTAAGCTTTAAATGTTTTTCTTTGTTTATAGAGCAAATTCTCTGTTAGAGTGGCTGAAAATTACTTATGCAGGAAGACTCAGTGAGGAGAGGCTCTTTGATATCAGACTTCCTGCAAACTTTGCTGTTTTCTATCTGCTCTCTTAGCTGGTTGCTCTGTGTGTGTGTGTGGCTTGGAGGATGGAACCATCCAGAGGGATGTAGAGTCAAGCTCCTTAAAGAGGAGCAGCTCTGTACTGAAATTGTGTAAGATTAGTAACTTTAAACAAGAAAATCTGTTGCAGAAATTAACATTTCCTGTGGTTTCACTTGTTAGGTACAAGCAAAGAAACGGTTAATGTGAAGTCAGCTACACTTCTGCTCTTGCAGTGGATGTCCTTGTAGAAACAGAGAGAGAAAGTAATACTTTTTGCCTTAATGAGTAAAAAGCAAATTTGGGGAAAAAGAAGTTATCTTGAAACTGTTAATCGTGACTTTGTGAGGGAGGGGGCTTATTATTCCTGCCTTTATGTAATGCTTGGTTACATAAGCTGTTTAGCCTAAATAACAGAAGCAAAAACTCCTAGCTGTGTTTTTGCAATTACCTCATCACACTTCCTATAAAGAGGCTGGTCCTATGCTTTATTCCAGTAAATGAAAACCCGGGGCTGTAGTGTGTTAGGTATGTGTTATGTATGTGTAGCGTGTCACATATCTAAGCACCTCAGCTGCAAAGAACCCCCTCTTGCTGGAAGCATGCATGCGCTGTCCCCAGTGGGAATCAGATGGGTGATTTATCCTCATCTGAGCAGTAACCTCCTACTGTGAAAACAGCCATGTTCCTTTCCCAAGGACCATGCCAGTGGGTGCTGCTGTGTCCCTCCATGCCCCCGCTGCACTATGGGTGCTGCATGCCCTTTCCCCAGCAGGGTGAAGGGAGCTGTGGCCTGGGCTTCCCACGCTGGGGATGGTTTCCTGCCCCAAGGCCTGTGGTGGGGGCAGGCTGAGGGCTGAGCTGCGTGTGCTGTGGTGGTGCTGACATGCGACTGCACCACTGCAGTGTGCTGAGGGCTGCTGTGCTCTGACGTTGGGTGGCTGGGAAATGCCTCTGCCACCCCTGCCCATGAGCCTGGAGGTGCTGGAGGGGGACCACAATGCCACAGCCCCCTGCTTCCTGGCCAGCTCTGCTTTTCCTCAAATCCTGCTGAGCCAGGCTGCACTGAGCAGGATAAAGTGGGGTGTTTTCCAGCTTGGAGCTGACTAATGGGCTATAGCACACTCCTTACTGCCTCCTAACATGGAGTTCCCGTCCCTATGGCTGAGTGTTTCTTCAGTCATCTACACCTCTGAGCATGGCTCAGGGCTCCAGGCTGCTGGACTCTGTGTATTTGTTCCTGGAGGGGATCTTGGCAAAGCAGCAGCCTGGGGGGTGGTTTTTCTCTTTCAACATAAAGCATACTGGCCTCTCAGCTCTGTGACCTTCAAAAAATTAATAGAAAATCAGACTGGGACTGCTCATTCTGGAGCAGTTCCTCTTTGCTGGGAAGACCCTGTCTGAATCATCCTGCTCTCTTCACCTAACCTTGTTTCTTATTCACACTTCATCTCTGCATTCCATCTGATCTTGGGTCCTTGACTGTCTTTCTATCTCTCCAATAAGCCTTCCTTTCTCACCTAAAACCATCTTTACTTCCTCTGCATTTGAACTGGATGGGACTTTATCCTGTGTTGATAGAGTGAAAAATCCCAGCAGTCCTGAAACAAGAGGAGGAATGACCTCCCCTGTTTCAGTTTTAGTGTGTGGCAGCCTGGCAGTCAGCTGCCTGCTGCAGGGACCATCCAGCTCACTCTGCAGTATGTGCAATGGAGAGAAAGCTGGAAACTGGCTACTCAACAAGCTTGGCCAGCGTGTGTAAGTTCAACCCTTTCAAAAGTTCACCACATGCCCATAGAGGTGTGTTTTTTCAAAGGAAGAGCAAAAAGTCCAAAAGCGACACCAACACAGCCTCTGGGTGAAATTTTGTGTCCCTGTTTTCCAAATGTGAAGAAGAGTTTCTTAATAAAAGTGTTAAGAATTCTTTGAATGTATTTCTATTCCCCACGATCGTTCTTAGAAACGACTGAGTCAGTTTTGTTCTGGTTTTCCTCAAAAATCAGGTGGAGACACAGTATGTGTGCTCATAGTCCAAAGAAATGTTTTTGACAAACTGGGAGTAGCTGAAAATGTGACCTTAAAATGGGAAGTGTTGACTACCCACAACCAACCAAGTGCATTGATGGTAATGTTACAAAAATAAAACATAGTACCTACTTACTAAACTAAACTACTCGACTAAAGCTGGAGATGGTAGCATGTATTTTGTCCATGCAGTTTTAATTCCACTCCATTTTTCCTCTGTGGTCACTAGGGCAGAACAGAAACTTATCATAGACCCTATATGAGTGCTTGCACACAGAGAAGAAAAGCTGAGGTTTGGTGAATCACTTGGTGTGTAAGTGCTTGGCTCTATGCCTCCAGCACTGCATTAGAGTGTTTGTTGTGAGTTTTACCAGATTGATTCTCCTCTCTTACTTCTTTGATACCAGATTTATGTTTCATTCTGTACAGCCTTTCCTACTGCTTGAGCAGAAGGGCATAAACCTGTCACTGTGAGATTTCTAATAACTAAGCTAAAGAAGCAATAGCTATTTTAAGTTACTTTATGCTCTCAAATGAGGCAGGCTTTAGACTATCAGGAAACTGAAAGTTGGCCCTGCTTCTGGTTATCTATACAAAACCAGAAGTCTGTGTTTCTTGCAAAACTTGTAGCTGGTCATTACATTCACTTCTGGTTTTTACTAGCTAGTATAGCATCAAGTTAATTTTCCTGACTCATTCTGAGTGTTTTCACAGGTCTTTCCTGATACCTTTTACGCTATGTAGGATGGCAGCTGTTGGGAGAGTCTGTACAGCAAACAGTAGGTTTTGTTGGATGCATTCATGAATAAAAGAGCCATTTTGTCAAATTATGGGCAGTAGGAAAATCACGGATAGAGTATTTTCTGTGTAGTGATTGTTTGCAGTAGTTTAGTTAAGAAAACCAAATGGGACAAAAATACACCTCTGGGAGCAGCATTTTGAGGAAAATGACTTACAAACAGTCAAGTCCTAGCAATGAGAAGGCGAGGGAATCCCCAGTTTCTGTTCCCCTGTTCACCCACTAAATAAATCACGGGTCACACCAAATGCTAAGTTGCGCAGTACAGAGATGTTTGCTTTTCTGTAATTCAGGGTAAATGTTTAGCATACGCCTGTAAAATTATCAACCTGTTTAATGATATTCCTCTTACAGAAATAAGTCATCAGCAGCGTGTTCATTTTCTCTCCTGTTCTTACATGCTGTCACTTCAAGTGGGGGAAATTCACTAAAGGTAATATGTCAGTTTTCTCCAGATTGTGCTTATTTTAAGCTGTTTTCAGTTCACCTTTCAGTAACAAGTAAGCTGAGATGGACTGGCCAGAAGCCCAACCGTGGAGCTTGAGTAGAGGTTCGTATGTTCAGACTCAGATCGTGTGTGTGCTCACCCTTAAAGGTCATCCCCAGTCCCAGTGGCTGTGATGTCAGTGGGGAAACCCTGCTGCACTTTTGTTTGTCCTTATGCAAAGGTCTAGAAACGTCAGATAGAAGCAAAGCAGCTGCTTAGAAAAGGCTTCAGTATAGAAACTAACCACAGTTTCTTACTGACTGATAAGCAAAAGTGATTTATTTAATCAGGTCCTGCTTGAATGGTCTCTTGTCACTGTTTGTTGAGCTCAGACTGTTTTGTCTTTCAGCTACTTATTAGGGAGAGCTTTTATTGAGAAACATGGCATGATCTTAAATTTCTTAAGTACTGGATGCCACTAATACCGATGTTTAAGACGACTTCTTACCTGAAATAACTGGACAGAGGACAAGCCAAGGTGCCCACCATAAGTTCCTTTTTTTGGATTAAGCTTTGGTACCATTGTGCACCTTTACCCAAGGCTTTCCCTGACACCACATCAAATTCTTTTTCAACGCTTAGTAATTCTTTACAACATTCCTGAGAAGGTTTTTAAAATGCCTGCTTAGCAGATGAGGAATCTAATGCATAGACATTAACAATTAGCAAAGGGCCAGACAGAAATTTTGTGGCTGATACCAGAAACTGAAGCCAAATTCCCTGAATGTGTGAGATTGTGGTGTTTGTCCCTTTTTCTTGAGAGTCACGTTGCCCATGCTTGCAGTGGGGATTCCCAGTGCATAACTCACTGCATCTGGCTAAGGACTGTTGTAATTGTCTCTAGAGACTATAAGTGAAAACAACTGCTTATTTTTAAGCCACTATATATATATGATAGCCCACTATTTTGGCTGCTAAAAAACTCTATATTTTTTCCTAAGCTTGCAAATTAAACAACTTTTCCTTTCAGATCTCAATTACCTTCTTAAGAAGACAAAAATAATCACAAGTCTATTTCTTGCTTGGTTTTGGTTCTCCACAGAAGTCTGGCTGAGAATACAAACCATAGGAGTGTCAGATCTAAGTTAACACTTGGGTAAGTTCTGATGTCTTACAATTGAGAGGGGTGGGTGAGGTTGGTCAAGGGGGGGAGCCTAATAATTCCTCATAGTAGAATTGTAAAAACAAACAAGAAACCCAACAAAATAGTGACATGCTTTCTAAGGATTTACTGCTGGTATCCACAGGAAATGAGTGGATGCTAAAAGTATGTCCTAAATAAAAGAAAAAAGGCAAAAATACCAGAGTTCTGGCTGAATTAAAGATGACTTTTTAGATAGCCTTCATTAAGATTCTTGGTAAGACCTTTTTCTGCTGCTGAAGAGTTGCTGCAGCATCTCACCAGAATTCCTATGTGGAAGATGAATGTGTCTCTGAAGTGATTGAGTAAATCTTTGCAAAAGTATGATGTCATCTGTTGTGAAAAATTGGATATTCCATGATACCATTTCAGCATAGGAGGCTCCATGCTTAAGGTCATGTGTTAAAGCCACAAAGGCCTTAAGTATCACAAAGTAATGTTGAACTGCATGAACTGGAGAGGCTGTGTTGCTTGGTTAAACACAAATCCTTAAGATGTGTGTTAAGTACTGTAAGGCTGAGCAGTGTAAGACCTCAGTGTTGCCTTGGGTTTGCCTTCAATTCACAGTCATATTATCAGACTCTGTTATCATGCATTTTAGGCCTAAAGTTATCCTCCTTTAGATCCACTGTTAAAAACTGCTCTTGGCTTTAGCAGAAGCCAAACCCTTTTATTTAGGAAAGGGTTGTAGCTACCGAGTCGAGTTGGTTGAATAACGAATGTGCTGTATGTGAACTGCTATAGTCTGTCTGTCTGAATGAATGAGTTTACAGCAAGTTGCTGGTAGCCTTCTCCCTTACAATACTTAAATGAATGTTGTGTTTGCAGGGCTGCGTATTTTTATCACTCAGCCAAAATTCCAGTCAACCCAAATGGGAGCTTTGCCTGTAAGAGGTGCGTGGTGGGGTTCTTGACTCTTAACTGTACTGTATTGCTATGAATGTATTAACTGCATGGCCCCAAATTAATAAACTTATTCCTGTAACCAAAGCAGTGAACAAGCACAGTGTGTCTTCATAGCTAAAGAATGTGCTATTGCTTAATGAGTTGCTTAAAGCCCCTTAAATAAAAGTTGAAGAAGCACTCAGCTGAGGGAAGCTGACATAGCCTTTCTGCCCTGCTTTAGGAGTGTGCATCTTCCAAGATAAAGGGATATAGGGAATGACTGACTCGTCTCTGCTGTTTGAGCGTGTTACGAGCAGAGATGGAGACACTCTTGTAGGAGCAGCAGAGAATTCTGGCCCCCCTCCACCAGAACAGGAATTTATGAAGATACCAAACATCTGCTCCTAAAGCACTGCATAAGGAAGCTCTGGGTTGGAACACAGCCAGTGTCATTTGTAACAGTTGGAAGAATTGTGGGTTAGAGGCTTATGGAGGGGAGGATATTGCAAAAGAAGGAGAACTGGACAGGACTGCTCAAGAATAGAGTGGCTACGGTTGCTGTTAAGGGGAAAGGGGGAAAATAAACCCAACCTTTAGACTGTTAAGCAGTGGCTACTTTGCTGTTTATTGCTTTTGTAACCCATAACCAATTTGGTTTTTATCACTTTAGGAGGTTCTTGCCACCACCTTCATCTCCAGTATCCTTGAGTCCTCCTCTTCTTTCCTCGCTGGAGCCTTCATCGGTTGTGGTGCATCAACTCTTTGCATATATCACCGGAGCCAAACTGTTAAAGGGAGCAAAACCAACACTGCATTTATTTCCCCCTGGTTTTTGTTATTTCAAATTAATTACAGAGACATTCATGAGGCAGGGTTGTTGACCACACAAGTATAGGCTGTTCATTAATACATGTAGTCTGGAAGAAACTCTAATTGCTATGCTAAATATAATTTATTCTGTGGTTCCATTCAGCTGTATATTTAATTTTCTCTTGCCATTCTTTTTCTAGGGGCAGTAGTAAACATTCTTCCAAGCAGGAATAGTAATGATGAGCCAGTAATTGTCTGAGTAAATTACCCAAGCAGCCTTCTTTCCTCTCTCAACTTCCTACGTTTCTGGTGTCCTCTGGCATTACAGCAGAGGTATGTGTTAGTCCTGGCCTATGTAAATGAAAGCCTTGTCTACATTACAATTAAAGCCACACCAGGTCACATGGCTTCCACTTGACCAGTTACAGGGCTCTGTTGCAAATGAGGTTTTAACCGTGTTGCAAGTGTGAAGTCCTGAACTGACCAAGTTTGTAGTAGCTGGGTCACCTGCCACAGAGGGTTTGTGTGACGTAGGTCATGGGATTATTAGCAGAAGCGAAAGTGCTATAATTGCATCCCTCTACCAGTATTTGTGTTGACATCGAAGCCTAAAGAGGCATATTCAGGAAGCAGAAACAATACCGTGTGTAATTAAGGTATGTCAAAGGAATATAAATCCCAGTTCTAAAAGATCCAGCAAGTGAATGATGTGGATTTTTGGAAGAAACACTGTGATTATTCCAGGTTTACTTCTTATGGGGCTTTTTGCACCCTGAGAGCATTGACACTGCCCACTGTTGGAGGAAGAGAACTAGTAGCAGAAGTGTAAGAGAGCAAAGAGACCCCCCAAAAGAAGTCAATGTACCACTGGATAAATCACTGTGAATCAAACTATGTATAATCTGGCCTGTAGAGCTGGTTGCTAAAGTATATGATAAACACAATATATGCTTGCTGTGAAGCAGAGGGATTGTGTAACAGTATGTAAACGTTACCACATGCCTAAACAAGCAAGAGATTAGGTTGACCATGGGGCTGCCACACAGCCAAGGAGCTGTAGTCTTAGACCACCCTGTTGTGCTGTGGAGGCAGGATGATCAATCCCCCCAAACTGCCCCAGAGCCCTAGGAGTTGAAAAATAGAGTAAGGAAACAGGTGAAGATGGTGAAACAGGGTAGTACCAGCAATGTTCAAGATGGCATCTGTCAGCAAGCTGATCACTGTAAAGAAAGCTGTAATTCAGGCTTTTCTTGCAGCAGGACCTTTCTCCTAGGACTTCCCGTCTCACTTGGCCTGATACGTTTGAAAGACTTGCAGCAGTAAAAGCATCTGGAAGTGAATCAGGTCTCAGTACACATGTCTGAATTGCAACAGACTCTCTTCAAACTGTTTATCAGTGGGTGTGGACCATAATGAATATAAATGAATGCAGGTGTAAGTCTCTCTGCCATTACCATGTTCGAGTCTCCTGGAACCAGAACCGCTGCAGAATTCACTCCTTAGTGGCCTTTGCTTCTTGTGAAGCTGGACTTGACTTCACTTCTTACTGAACCGCGCAGCATCCGTGCAGATTTTGTAGCTCACTTATTAAACTATGAGTCTCTGGTATCTCACAAGCTGTATATTGGTATTAAATCTGAGGTTTACTCGCTGGTTTTTGCCTATCTAGGGTAAGAGAAGGTGGTAACAAAACCTGAAATAGATGTGTTTTAAAAAGTAACAGACCTATGTATAGATTTGGCTTTTTTGTCTGCTTTTTTTTTTCTTTTAAGCAAATGATTATGTAGATTCACAGAAATGTTTTGCAAATTCACGTGGGAACTTTGCTTTCAGTTTATTTCCTGTTATGCAGATCATACAGAATGGAAACTGCTGGAAAAGGCACAGCCAGCTATCTTTGGCAAGATTTCTTGGAGGTGAGAGCTCAAGACGCTCCAGAGACTAGAGCTTCATGCACGAAAATCCTTTACCCTCTTATGCTGGGAGGAGCATGAAACCACACAAGTATGACAAGCTGCTAGAAGCAGATGTAGCGAGATTTACTGGGAAGGCAGTAGTTTGCATGCCCTTTCAGGAAATCATTATTGTGACCACGAGGGGGCATTTTAGTAAGACACCGCAAAACCAATGGTATTACTCATGGTCACTGAGGGAGTGGCATCAAGGCCCTTAAAGGACAAGCTGATGTGACTGCCAGGAGTAAGGTCACTAGAACAGTAATCAGGCACTTTAGTCCAAATCCTCTCCCTCATTCTTCTTACCCTTTTGATACTGGGTGTGATGCTTATCTTCTACATGGGGCTAGTGCAATGGAAAAAATTAGCTTTGTGACTACCTGTCCCAGTCTTTGTGAAACAGATCTTTCAAGAGGTTGATTTTCAACAGTACCTACCTGGCTTGCACCCCAGAATCTCACTGGAGACTGATCAGAAATGGAACTACAACATCGGTGGCTTTACTATGTATAATTTATCTTTTCTACATCTACATGTTAAGGACCCTTTCCATTAAGCAGTCACTTTTTCTTTATATTCAGCTTTATACATGACATTGCCCTTCTAGCCAGCTCTAGGCCTTATTCTAATCAATCCTTCTTGCCACGAGCTCATTTCTGTCATCTCTTCCTTGGGTTAGGCCTTCTCCTTCCTCTGGTTCCTGCATTGACTTGCCAGAAGCAGCTTGCAGTGGCAGTTCTCCCTTCATGCCTGTTTTGTTTCCATTCAGCAGGCTATGTGTCTAGATTTGTTTTTTCCACTCCACAGGGCAAAACCCCTGTTCAATCCTTTCAGTGTGTATTGTGCAATAGATTATTATTCTTCCTGGCGCATTGTTCCTTTTAATCAAAAATGAAAGTCAGAAGATTGACATGTATATTCTTTACTAGCATAGAGAAAAGTGCTTCTTCCAGGCATCTGAACATGTTCTGAGCCTCATGGTGGTTGACATATTTACTATACCTAAGGCACAGTGTGCCACACCGAAAACATGGAGGGTGTTGTTTGGACTTTGTCTATTTTTAGCAATGTTGTGCTTCACAAGTGGAATGCAGATGAACGAGTATTTATCAAATGTATTGTTTATGAGAGGTTAACCACTACATTGATTACAAAAAGGACGTTGAACTTTCCCCAGAGTCCTAAAAGCCAAATTGCAAGTCATGCCGCAACTGCCAAATGAACAAGACTGTGAAATAACAAAACCCATCATTGCTTGGCGTGAGAAAGCAAGGCTGCCCAACCTTGTCATTAAGAAAGCTCAGACTAATAATTATACCCTTACTAGGATGTTGCCCTTTTTAGTAAAGCTGTATTATTGCAGCATACTAGTAAATTGGGTGTATATGCGCACACACAGTCCCAACAGACACGGCTGGAGACTTAACTGTTCAGGTGGGGTGAAGCAGCGGTGTTGATCAGGTCCCAACAGGGAGACTGCTCAGTGAGGTAGCACTATGACACACAGCCCCAGGCACTTTGTAGAAAGGGCTAATGCCCGTCCAGATAAGATGAGTAGCTGCCTAATTCACAAACTGCAGATATGCTTTGCATACATAGGAGGACTTCATGCAATAACTGCTCCCAGAAGGTGTTATTGTATTTACGGACAGTCTGAAGAGCGGTGTCACTTTCGGCTATTCCTGGGTGTTATCCTTTAACTGCACAAGTCAGAGCTATGTGAGCCATCGGGTTGGAGAGTTAACAATAAGGTGTAAGGCTTCAAATTAAAAGGAGATATATCTGGTGGGGCTGTACTGAAACAATGTGCCTTTTTATCTCTTCAGTATTGGCTGCAGATAATGGTCTTCCGAGACTCTTGAAGCCCAAGGTGATGTTAAGTAGCCTAAATACTGTGTGAGTTCTGAGGAAAAAGGGAAGTTTTGTAATAAAACCTCGGATGAGCAATTCTTGTCCTCTGGTGGTGGATCCAGTGCATAATGGCTGGCTGGTATGTGCTGGGGTTTTGGGGAGCAGAAGAATTAATGGGAACGTATGTTGCCTATCTTTTTTTCAGTATGTAGTTTTCATGTTACACATAGGTACTCTAATAGTACTGTAAGGTACGCTAGTAGCTCACTGTTATCAAAGGGATGATTCCCATCTATCCTTCTGCCTCCCTGTTTTTTGTGGCTGCAGCTAGAGGAATTCTATTGCTTCCGTTTGTACCACCAGGAGTGATCTGGCTTGTAGAGCTAATCTATTTGAAAAATAGATTTTGGGTAGAAAAAGGTTGGTTTTGGTTGATTTAGCTCCTTATGCTCATCCTGAGCTCATCTCTTCCCAAAGTCCTCTCCCTAGAGCACTACTGCATCAGGTTGGTCTTAGTTGTGGTGTAAGGAAGAAGTTTGTAGTTTGTCTATTAGATCAGCTTCACTGTCATGTGAGGCTTTCATGGGGCACAGTGGAAAAAGAAAACACTCCTCATATTTACTTTGCTTGCCAATAAATGTGAACGATTTTTCTATGTTAAAACCATGCAGCTCCCAAACTCTGGTGTGTGTTCATAGCACTGGAATGCAAAGAAAGGGTTAGGAAACACCTGAGAGAGGTGAAGGAGAAGGTGCCTGAGAATGGTTCTGAAAGCTGCCTCTAGGAAGGAAGGATGGAAGGATGAACTGTGAGTTGGAAACTTCACAGAGACTCAATCAATTCCTCAAAAGTAAAAACACAGCGTTGTGCTACAGATTGCACGTCAGGAAACAGTCACCTCTGCCCAAAGCTGCCTTTGAGAAACTTGTTCTGGCCTTGGTGCCGCCCCATTGCTTGCTGCTGGCACAGTCATTTCTGTGCTTGTACGTATGGCTGGCTCAGTAAAAGCTGAACCAGCAGAAAGCCAATCTTCTTGTTTCCTCCAGGTTACTTTAAAGCAAGCTCCCGTGTCACCAAAGGAGTGCTTGCAGCAGCATAGGTGAGCTGCTTGGAGGTAAGGAGAGGAAGAGGGGAGAGTGCCTCTTCCTGACAGTGCCACAGTGAAGTGCTCATGGAACTGTCATTTTTATTGTGCTCGGCACTTTCCTATAATGGGCCGTTTCCTACAATGAGCAGTTCATCCCCTGAAGAAGTTGCATCATGATTGAATAACATAGAAGTGTGGGAGCAAGGAAGTACCTTGCCTGATTTCTGTAGGGGAAATTGAGGCTTAGCGAATTAAGTGACTTGCCTAAGAGTAGAAAGGGTGACTTGCCAAGAGCCAAATTCCAGCCTCTTGAATCATAGCCTTGTGCCTTATCCACAAGACCAACCTTTCTCTGTTAGCATTTCCTTTCTCTCCACCCTGTTTTGAGAGGAGGCAGAGTAGCATTGTTCTATGTCAAACAAACTCCAGGCATGAGACAG